GTGGTATACATGGTTGCCAGGGTCATCGTTTTCTTCAGTAGTAGAGTATACGTAACAGTAATGAGAAAATTATGCAATTACTTTGTAACCTTCGTCAGAAGGTTATAAGTTTAGGTACACCATGTATAGGGGTACATACTGATTTGTAATCGGTTATAACTTGGGGTGTGATGCATGTATCTTTATGATATTTGGTAGGTAGAATGAGCTTGGGAAAAAGAAGGTCAAGGTCAATTTTGGGTACTCTAGCGGCTTTGTAAGGTACTGCAGCGGGGTACATGGGTATGATATCTCGTGCTGTGGACATGCTATGGCATTGATGTCTCATATGTTATATGGTGGGACATAGATGTTTGGGCACTAAGTATCTGGTGTGGTTATCAGCTGCTTTTAGTTTCCGTGGTCATTTTTATGATGGAATGTGACTAGACGGGATAACTTTTGATGTTGTGGATGTTTTTTTTTACAGTTTTTCATGTTACCTCTAAGTATTTCATGGAGGTGATTCTCTCACTAAACCAATATTTTGTTTAGTAGAATATTATAATTTCATATTGGTGTTGGCTTCAAGTGAAAGATAGCCATCAGGCCGTGCCTTGTATGTCAACATCATTTTTCAGAAAAACAAAACTGACTCCTGTACTGACCATTACTATTCATGCAGCTCAGACTCATTTGTGGAGTGATTATAACATGAATCATAATGAGAAAACGTATTTAAATTTTCTCTGAAACAGTAGGGCCTTAAGAAACCGTAACATAAAAGACATTAAAAGACTCAAAAGCAAGACATCAGCCACTCAAATCTGCGTTTGCCCTTTCCAAATAACATAGTTCAGGGGAGCAAGTAGTCGGGCAAAGGGGCTTTTTGAAATATCCCAAAACTCAAAAGGAGAGGCAGCATGGAAACAAATATTCACCAAACTCCAAGCAGATCTGGCAATGGATAATGTCTGACAAATGGATACTGCCTGGCCAATTTGATACCATTTTTGCGGCAACCGAAAGATTTGCTTGGAGATTAAATGTTCACTGCATGTATCAAACCATCAGTTACCTCACTGACGCATGCAAATCCTGAATAAGTCATAGGAATTGCTCTTTTACACATACAAGTCTTTTATTCAGCCGACGTGCAACTACTACAGTTTTGTTGTGCTTTAGCAAACACAAGCCACCGGTATCTGGGCGTCTGAAGTAGGATGCCCATGTTAGTAATATCACAACTAAGACTAAACAGACATTGGGAGTGATTAAACGTAATCTGTGGGCATACCCAACTAGAGTAAAATCACTTGCATACACGTCACTTGTAAGACCGAACCTAGAATATGCCGCGACAGTATGGGATCCATATAAAACGTAAGACAAACTGGAAAGGGTACAGAATCAAGCTGCAAGATTCTGTATGAACAACTATGAAAGGGGTGTTAGTGTCACGGAAATTAAAAAAAACCTACAGTGGGTGTCACTGGAAGACAGACGAAAAATGTCTATGCATGATGTACAAAATGACTAATAAACTGATGGACGTACCAACTACTGAGTTCCTAATACCAGCCCAGAAAAGAACAAGAAATATTCATGCCTTCAAGTACCAGAGTTATCAACCAAGGATTGAGGCGTTCAAAAATTCATTCTTTCCTAGAACTATCGGAGAGTCGAATTCGCTGTCACCAAGTACAGTAGGGGCATTATTATTAGATAGCTTTAAACGTTAACAATGTTTAGAGTTAGATGTTCAAGGGTTAGGTGTAAGAAGTTCGGTGTAATGTAGCCAGCTGCGGCCGCGCCGCGTGCCTGTGAAGCTGGTGTGTTACGCCGAAGGGCGGTTACACCGGCTATACAGATACAGATAGAGATACTAATATCTGTTCTTACCTTTTTACCATTACTAAGAAGCGAGAAGAAGCCGAATTTACTTAGTTGTAGTTACTTGGTAATGTATACATGGAACGTTATCTATTCTAGTCTTCTGTTAACCTTAACTACTTAACCCAGTGGATACCTGTGTACAATAAAGTAAAACTGTGTACATTCATCCATTATATCTCAAGTGCGCGTGAACGTATTCTCATCTTACATATGGCGGATCGTTACAGCATGATTTGTGATCGCAGAACACTGTGTTAATGGGCAAACCCGGGCCTACAGTGTATGTTATTATATTGTATGATTTTGCATTAATACTGTATTGTATTATTGTAGTGTCTGGGAGGACAACGTACTGGCAAAGGTGTTGATACACGCCCCTTACTTGTACAATGTATATCCCTTGTACCAGTGGCGAATCTAAATAGAAAATAGTGCGGACAAAATTCTTGTAGAGTGTGTGGAGTTGAAAGTCACATGTGAGCGTTAGCTAAGTGTAGTATAAATTGCTGTGTCGGTATAGGACAACATACATGTACATACCGTCATCTTGTTCAGGAGTAGAGGGTCCTGTTGACTCTTGTTGAGGCGGGGCCGCCTCGTATCCCGAATCACTCGGGGCTGTATAGAGCAAATTGCGTTGATCTTGGTCTTGACCATCCTCGCTGCCGCCATAGTGACCCGATTCCTTCTGGTTTACATTGTCCTCTCTTCCATAGACCTGTGACACAGTCGTTGGCTCCTCTTGACCCGTGTCTTCAACAGGGTCTACTTTAGCTTCCTTGTCATCTGTTTTGTCGTCATAGATCCGCGACAAAGTCTTAGTCTGGACTTGACCTGTGTCGTCGGTGGATTTTACTTTAGTCTGTCCAGCCGATTTCTGTATATCCTCTTTCCGTCCATAGGCATAGAGCTTTGCCATCAATTTGGAATCCTCATAATTTGTTGTGTCCCTGTTCATTCTTTTTCTGTACATTGGTGATTTAACGGATGTTTCGGCCTGGTTGTCATCATGTCCAGTGTTAGGAGGGATGGGCACCTCGACAGAAGGCTCGACACAGTCTTTGGGTGCAGTCCTGCACTCCGCGGTGTTTTGGTACTGGTGCTGCACTTCTTGCCCCCTCGGTGTTTTGGTCTGGGTTTCATCATCTCCAGAGTCGATAGGGAGGAGCACCCCGCACTCTGCGGTGTTTTGGTCCTGGTGCTCTACTTCCCGAACAGCCTTCTCTTTGGTCGTCTGCATTTTCGTCTCAGGATGATTCGAGCTGAAGTAGAACTAGTTTGGTAGATTTCTATATATTGTTGGTGGCTTCAAGTGAAGAAAACGAGGTTGCCAGGTAAAACGTTGGAAAGTGAGAAAAACAAGACCGACGTCTCGGACCAAAATTGCTTTTCTGTCAGCATAGACTCATTTGGTGAAATCATGTAATGAAAAAAAAAAACACATTGCAGAACATTTCATGTTGCATTTCATATTACAAACACTTTAGTGAGAAATGTCATCAACTTAAAAGGAATTCAAATCCTCTTTAAGCAAGTCACTGACCCTTGAATTCGTATGCGTACGAATGTATGCGATTTGCCTAAACCATTTTCTCCGAGAAATGTAATCAACTTAAAAGGCATTCAAAACCTCTTTAAACAAGTCATCGACCCTTGAATTCGTATGCGCCTATTCCAATAATAATATTCAGGCTGGTAGGTAGTGGTGTGAGGCTCGGTAGGGGTAAATAACGTCTAGCGCAAAGGGAAAGTAAAATCCACCACATTTAGACAGCATGGGCACCTCTTAATCGCTAGGTACGACACCAATATCAATGTGACATCATTTGCAACAAGGAATACAGGCATGTGCTATTTGCATTGCATGACTCCTATATAGTGTATGTATGTGTTAGTAAAATGTTCAACGTCATCAAGGATATTCCCAGAAGCATTAAACACCTGTCCTTGGTGTTGAACTCCATTCAAAGACCAACAACACACCTGTCCTTGGTGCTGAACTCCATTCAAAGACTAAAAACACACCTGTCCTTGGTGCTGAACTCTATTCAAACACCAAAACACACCTGTCCTTGGGGCTGAACTCTATTCAAACACCAAAACAATACCTGTCCTTGGTGCTGAACTCTA